AGGAGGAGGAGGAGGAGGAGGAGGAGCAGAAGGAGCAGAAGGAGCAGGAGCAGGAGCAGGAGCAGAAACAGGAGCAGGAGGGGGGGCGGTGGAGGACGAGGAGGACCATCTTTGTGGGCGAGCCTCAGAGGTGCAAGAGTTCAGGACATGCCATCTGCGAACACAATCCTGACACCCTGACATCCGCGCGTGGTGAGGAAACGCGTTGTGAGAAGAAACGCAGCGGAAGGCTCGTGGCGATTTCGCAGTCCGGGGGTCCCGTCAGTGAGCGACTCAGCATGGAAGGGGCCAGTCCCAGGGAAGGGGTGCAGATTTCCAGGGAGCTACGTTGTGAAACAATGACGTTTTCGGACGTTTGGGTACGTCAGCGGCGAATGTACGTGTGGACGCGTGGCAGAGGTAACGGCAAGTGTTCTAGCATCCAGTTCTATTTGCCGATGGCGTGCTGCTTTTCCGCTCGGTTGCACACCTCTAACACGACTCCACGCGCGAGCCTGGGGCCGCCAGTGCCGCCCTGGATTCAGGAGGGGAACAACAACACACAGACACAGCTAATCGTCGATTCCTGGGAACACATGGGAGAATCTGGGAAGTGGGGGTGAGGAGGAAAACCCAGAACATACGGGAAAGTATGGGGAATCCTGGAATTTATATGTGTTTGTTTGCGTGCCCCCGGGCCCCTTTAGAGATGGGCCGCACTGGCGGGCTGCGCCGCGGCGCGGCCCGCGGGTGCTTCGATCGCGGCGGTTTCGTGCTGCCGTGGTGGAGTCGGGCGTTTCCCTCTACAGGAGGAATCTACAAACATCGTCAAAAAGTAGTCTGGGGGCGATTTTTTGACTACTCTTGATAACTTTGGCGTACTTTTGGATATACAAAAATCGTCAAACAGTAGTCTGGGGGCGATTTTTTAACTAGTCTTGGTAACTTTGGCGCATTTGTGGATTCTTTATTGACATTTTTTCGCCCCCAGTCCGCCTGCAGGGGGACACGCTCGACCTCATGCTGTGGGCGGGAGAGAACTTGCCGCGCGATTCGGAGACGAGGGCCGTCGGATGTTTCGGAATCCCTGGAGTTCGGTACTGTCGGACGGAGGTATAAGATCGAGGTCGGTTCGAGGAGGGTACCCTAATGTTCTTCGTGTTTGTTGGACGTTCTGGCGCATCTAGGGGGAGGGCACCATTGGATGTTCTGTGTGTTTTGGCCTGCGGAGGGTCTTAGATTCTTGAAGGATGTTCTTCTGGCCTAGGTCCGACTGTAGCAAATCATGGGAGCCTGGTATTACCAGCCTCGAACTTATCCCTATCCCTAAGATCGACACGCCAAAAGGCGATGACAATCTTAGGGATCCGCCCTCAAGAAATAAGGGAATCCCTAAGATCGGCATCGTGATGAGGATATGCCCAGTATAGGGATAGGGATATGTTCCAGGCTGGTGATGGTATACCCTCTGAATTCCGATGTTGGCGTCGATGAGCGTCTGGGCCTCGGTGAGATAGCGCCGATTCAGCGTCGGCTAGCGTGGACTAGCGTCGATTTAGTGCCGATTTAGCGTCGAGTAGCGTCGACTAGCGTCGATTAGCTTCGATTTGCAAGAGCCGACAAGATGGTATGGGAGGCTCCCATGAGTTGCCACCGAGCCTAGAGAGTATCCTTAGTCAACCTCATCGTGGCACAGTTATCGCCCCGCAGCCCACAGGGCCCCTCTTACTCGGGGCGACGCGTGAGCGCGGGCACCTCCCTCCCCGAATCCCCTCATCCCTCGGCCTCTCCTCTTCCGTTCTCCACCCCTTCTCTTTTGCCCTCTGATCCTCGCATTCTTCTCCTCCCTCTCCGAGGGCGCCCATCGAGGGCGCGAAGTTGTTCGCGCTTCGCGCTTCGCGGTTCGGCTCCGATTCCTCCTCGTCCTCCTCTTCTCCCCTGGGAGGCGGCGCGAGAGAGCGCGAAGTTGTGCGCGACATTGGGAGCCCTTGCTCTCCCTGCCCCTGGTTTCCCCATCCTCCCTCGCCCGCTTGCCTGCTTCCATCGTTTTTCGCAATGGGAGGAGGGAGGAGGGAGGAGGGAGGAGGGAGGAGGGAGGAGGGACCCCGCGGCGGGGCAGCGCGCCGGCCTCAGGTGCTGCAGGGCTTCCCAAGGGACAACGAGTGCGTGACGCAGCTGGTGTCTGAGATCACCCACCTGGACCACCCCGCCCTCTGCGGGGCGGGCAAGGAGGGGGGAGAGGAGCACCAGAAGGGGCGGGGTGGGGGGGGGAGGCTGCGCACGAGGAAAGGCAGGAGAGCTGACGGAGACGGAGGGAGGGGGAGGGGTCGAGAGGAAGGGAGCCAGAGAGGGAGGGAAGCTAAGGCGTGGAGATGGATGGGAGGGAATAGCCAGAGAAACAGAGAGAGGGAAGAGAGAGAGAGAGAGATGAGATAGGGAGAGGGAGAACAGGGGGGGGGGCATATGTATGCATGAGCATATGTATGTATGCATATATGCATGTATGTATGTATGTATGTATGTATGTATGTATGTATGCATGCATGCATGCATGTATACATATATACATATATGTATGCATGTATGCTGCATGCATACGTTTATTTCTATACTTGCATGCACATATGTATGCATGCATGTACACGTGTATGCATGTATATATACATATATATACATGCACGTATGTCTACACCTATTTGTATGTATGCATTCATACATGCATGCATGACTGCATGTACGCATGTATACATGTCTATATGAGTGTATGTATGTGTGTATGTATGTATGTATGTATGTATGTATGTATGTATGTATGTATGTATGTATGGGTGCTTGCCTGTATGTATGTATGTGTGCATGTATGCATATATGCATGTATGCATGCATGCATGTATGCATGCATGAATGTATGTATGTACGCATGCATGCATGCATGCATGTATGCATGCATGTATGCATGTATGTATGCATATACGTGTGTATGTGTGTACGTGTGTATGCAAGTATGCATGCAATTATGTATGTATGTATGTTTGTATGTATGTATGTATGCATGTATGCATGCATGCATGCAGGTGTGCATGTATGCATGCATGTCTGCATGCATTTATGCACGCATGTATGTACGTATGTTTGTTGGTTTGTATGTATGTATGCATGCATGTATGCATGTATGCATGTATGCATGTATGCATGTATGCATGTATGCATGTATGCATGTACGCATGTACGCATGTATGCATGTATGCATGTATGTATGTATGTATGTATGTATGCATGTTTGTATGTATGTATGTATGTATGTATGTATGTATGTATGTATGTATGTATGTGTGTATCTGTGTATATGTGTGTATGTATGTGTGTGTATGTATGTATGTATGTACGTACGTACGTACGTACGTATGTATGTATGTATGTATGTATGTATGTATGTATGTATGTATGTATGCATTCATTTATGCATACATGTATGCATGTAGGTAAGTATGTATGTATGTGTATATGCATGCATGTATGCATGTATATATATATATATATATAGATAGAGACGCGAACCCATACATTGTTACATACATAAATGGAGAGGGAAGCACTTAGAGCTATACGATAATGCAAGCACTAGACTGGACTAGAACGTATATTCGACTATGACTCGGGCGGGAGGAACGCTGATTGAGGTGCACATCTATTTTTTCGGGTGTAATTCTGATGATGCGTAGTGCGACCTGAGGGTCGTGAAACGTCTCGGGAGAGGTGACGGCTCGACGTCCATGGGCAGGATATCTGGGTCAGGGGATTTCGCCCCCGATGCATGAAAGAGTCCCCCCAATTGGCTGGGGGGAGCTGTCATGATGTGCGCATGCTGTGAGCATCAATCACTTGAACCAAGGCCGTGCTGTCGTGCGTGCTCCTTTGGGGGGTGCCCTCCGGAGGGGGCGTGCTCATCGCCCGGGGATGGGCGGGGGTCGACCCGAGGCAGAACCTCCCCTCGCCTCCTGTGACGCTCGTGCGCGCCTCCCCAGCCCGCGGCCCCAGAGGCCCCGACCCCTTCCCCCTCGGGGGGGTGTTTTGTCCTCCCCGATCCGTCTGCGGTGCTCCCCGGGCCCGAAGGGGAAGGAGGAGGGGGAGGAGGAGGAGGAGGAGGAGGAGGAGGAGGAGGAGGAAGAGGAGGAGGCGGAGGAGGAGGAGAATGGGGGAGGAGGAGGAGGAGGGAGGAGGAGAGGAGGAGGAGGAGGAGGAGGAGGAGGGAGGAGGAGGAGGAGGATTTTCGGTGGTCCCCGGGCCCGACGGGCCGTGGAGGCCGCGTTCTCCAGGAGAGGCTGCCGGAGATTGCAGGAGACACCACGCCCTCGGATTTTTGGGTCCCGGGCTCCCTCCCTGCGTGCGCGCGCGCGCCCCACGCCGCCGACGAGGCGGCCCCGGGCCCCCCTGGGGGCCGAGGGCAGCCGAGGGGGGGGGGGGCGCGAGCGTGCCCCCCCGCCGAGCGCGCGGCCGGTTGGGTCGTCGTCTGGAATCGGCGACCTGGATCCGTCACGTGCTGCGAGTCGGAGGAGGAGGGGCAGGAGCAGGAGTCGAGCTGGCCAGCTCGAGTGAGTCAAGCGTGGCATGCCCATTCCCCACCCGCCCTCCCACAGCATAAGGAACGGTGCTGGCGCAACTGGGGGCCGAAATCAGATCGGCAAGGTAGTTTGCCACAGCTGATGCAGCCGCGATGGCGGCTACCGATAAGAAATCCCTGGCGCGTCTCAAAGACTGCGCTGGCATTTCAGCACGAGCCGAGGAGGCCACAGGAAGCCTCGGGAGGGCCCAGGAGGCCTCAGGAGAAGCCCCAGCGACCCTCAGGAAGCCCCAGGAGGCTTCAGGAGGGCCCAGGAAGCCCCAGGTAATTCCAGGAGGCTTCAGGAAGCCCGAGGAAGTGTCAGGAAGCCCCCGGGGAATCCTAGGAAGCCCCAGGATGCCTCAGGAGGCTCCAGGAGCATCCATGAGGCCCTGGGGAAGCCCCGGGGGGCCCCAGGATGTCCCAGGAGACCCTAGGAGGCCCCAGGGGGCCCTAGGCGCTCGACGAATTGGATAGCGAAATTGTGCGCCGCGCCTTAGCGGGACCGCCACTTTCAGAAAACATGCGCGCGGCGCCGAAGCGAGAGCGACATTTCGTTTCGCCCTGTCGCGCGCGATGTGCACCGCGCCCCCTTCCTGCCATGCATTTCGCAAAGCCTACGACAAAAAAATCACCACTGAGAATAAACATATCGACTTTGTATTGTTTCTGACAGGTAGGATGGCCCCTCCCGCTTGGGGTTGCCCCAGATGTCCGCGCGCGATGTGCGCCGCGTCCCATTCCTACTAGGCGTTTCGCATCGTCGACGACAAGAACGGCCATGTTGAGAGAAGCAACGACGACTTTTTATGGATACTTAACAGTTAGGGTGGGAGGGCCCAGATTGACGGCCGCGCGCGATGTGCGCCGCGTCTTATTCCTGCTACGCATTTCGCATCGTCGAAGACAAGAACGGCCATGTTGAGAGAAACCACCACGACTTTGTATTGATTTTTTACAGATAGGATGGGAGGGTCCAGATGGGACCCCCATCGCCCGGCCACGGGGGGAGTAATAATATATTCTAATACGGAAAAAGGGTAGGAGTAGGAGGAGGAGGAGAAGGAGGAGGAGAAGGAGGCGGAGGAGGAGGAGGAGGAGGAGGAGGAGGAGGAGGAGGAGGAGGAGGAGAAGGGGGGGAGGAGGAGGAGGAGGAGGAGGAGAGGAGGAGGAGGAGGAGGAGGAGGAGGAGGAGGAGGAGGCGGAGGAGGAGGAGGATCAGGATTAGCAGGAGGAGGAGGAGGAGGACGAGGAGGAGAGGAGGGAGGAGGAGGGAGGAGGAGGAGGGGGAGGATGAGGAGGAGGCGGAGGAGGAGGGAGGACGAGGAGGAGGAAGGGAGAAGGCGGAGGAGGAGGAGAGGGAGGAGTAGGAGGAGAACGAGGAGGAGGAGGCGGAAGGAGGGAGGAGGAGGAGGAGAAGGGGAGGAGGAGGACGTGGACGAGGAGGAGGAGAGAGGAGGAGGAGGAGGAGGAGGAGGAAGAGGAAGAGGAAGACGGGAAGAGGAGAGGAGGGAGGAGGAGGAGGAGGAGGAGGAGTGAGGAGGAATGCGGGGATGATGATGCTGATGCTGATTGATGATGATTATGAGATGATGATGATGATGATGATGATGATGATGATGATGATGATTGATGATGATGATGATGATGATGATGATGATGATGATGATGATGTGATTGATGATGATGATGATGATGATGATGTGATGGTGGTGGTGGTGGTGTGGTGGTGATGAGATGCTGATGCTGCTGCTAGCTGCTGCTGCTGTGATGATGATGATGATGATGATGATGATGATGATGATGATGATGATGATGATGAGGAGGAGGAGGAGGAGGAGGAGGAGGAGGAGGAGGAGGAGGAGGAGGAGGAGGGAGAGGAGGGGACTCGGTCGGGAGGGGGGAACTTCGCATCACGTGACGCAATCCCTCTGCGTTTTGAAGAGACAGCGCCCCGCGTCACCTGACCTCCCACCTCGGGGAGGGGCACCACACGCGGCCCCCCAGCCCCTTTCGGGCTTCGTGGCCCCGGAGGGAGCTTCAACAAAGGCTCCATGGGGGCGGGGGGGGGGAGAAAAGGTAATCCCTGGCAGATGGGCTCGATCCCCGGCAGAGGGGCTCAATCCCCGGAAACCAGCCTGAATATCCTCCGCTTTGAAGGTGAGAGCTGTTGTGGTCCGCTCCTTGGGCCTGCCGAGAGGCATCTTTGGCCCTCCCGACAGGCCTCCTGGGTCCCAACAGGCCTCTGGGCCTCCCGGCTGGCTTCGTGGGCCTCCCGACATGCGTCTTGGGCCTCCCGACAAGGCCTTTTGGTCCCTCCCGACAGGCCTCCTGGGCCTCCCGACAGGCCTCTTGGGCCTCCCGACAGGCCTCTTGGGCCTCCCGGCTGGCTTCGTGGCGTGGGCCTCCCGACATGCGTCTTGGGCCTCCCGACAAAGCCTTTTGGTCCCTCCCGACGGGCCTCCTGGGCCTTGCGACAGCCTTCTTGGACCTCCGACCGCCTTTTCGGCCAGATCCGGGGCCGCCCCAGGGCCCCGGAGAAGCCCCAGGCCCTCGCGTTCCCTGCTCGCGCTTTTACGAGCAGCGCCGATGGCTAGAA